AGAGATTGAATGTGTTATGAGAGTGCAGAGCAAGCAAGAAACGTTTGCATGGTATGAGGAATGTAGGGAATTGGTAAGGGTGAAAGCCAAAAACCTAGAAAAGGAGCAGCCGAGATGCTTGGTTGATGGAAATGAACTGCTCAGATTTCATGGCACAACACTTGCATGTTCACTTGGTTCAAACGCTTCCTCTTCTACCCTTTGCACTTTAGACCACTGTGGTGTCTGTCAAATTCTGAAGCATGGTTTTTACTCCAACCAAGAACTATTTAATGGTGCACTTGGGGTTTGCACCTCTTCTAGCAGTGCAAAAGCTATTCATTCAATTTGCTCACCCAATAACAAATCTGTGACGAGAAAATGTGTTATGCTGTGCAGAGTGATAGCTGGGAGAATCCATAATCCTCTACAAGAGATTGAGGAAATCACTCATACTGGGTTTGATTCTTTGGTAAAGAAAATGAGAGACCACTCAGAGATTGAAGAACTCGTTGTGTTAAATCCTAGAGCTGTGCTCCCTTGCTTTTTGGTAATCTACAATATTTGAATATGTTGCAGAAAATACTTTTGTTCATTTGCATATAATAATTATAAGTAAAATAACAAAGTGAAATGACAGAATTATAAAATGAAAAGATTTTGAACATACAAGTATGAAATATATGATATGTATAGGTTTGATAAATCTCAAATTTGATATAATATAAGCCACACAAATTTTATAGTCGAATGAGTCCTACAAATGATTAATGTTCATTTAGCAGGAAGAGGTTATTGTAAATAAAAAATTATTAAGATCAAATATTTTCAATATCTCTGTAGTAATTAGAAAATAATATATTCACAATCTATTCCTACTTATTCTACCATACTTTTATTTATTTTTATTTTTTTGAAGAGTTTTAATTATTACAAATAGAGATCATGAGAATGAAATTTAAGTGATTTAAATCAACAAAATAATTTTTTGTATTTTTCAACTTTATTTCCTATCAATAAAAAGATATTGAAAACAGAATGTGAAAAAAAGAATTGTGAAATTTTTATTTATAAGGACAATTGAACAAAAACAATTATTAAGAAGAAAAAAATGAAATACGAAAATTGGTAAGTCAACACCATTGTCATTGGTAATGAATGGGTCAAACAAAATTAGTAAGGCAAAACCATATGATATTAGGAGTGTTAGACATGGATAATTCCACATGTAATATTTTTTTATTAGCTTTGTGTAATGGTAGCTTATCAGGTGCATTAACATTTCTCGCTGTTGTATATTAATTCATGTTAATGGGACATTGTCTAATACTAAGCGGTCAAGAAAAAACCCTTCATGGAATAATGGGTCAACATGATTTAAAAAATTAATAATAATTAAAATTTGCATTATATATATATATATATATATATATATATTTTATAATAATGATAGTAACTATTTATGTTGGTTTTCTTTAAATAGTCCTTTTTTTTTTCTCAAAATTGAATCCTTAAATGTAGAAAGACAGTACAATTGGATCTCTGTCTTTAAATTAGATTAAGGAATTAAAATTAAGTTTAGTTGTTATTCTAATTCATTAATTTACGTGGCAAATGGAGACAGAGAATGTTGAATATATTAGATTAAATTATTAAAGAAATAAATTTCTTAAAATTGAAATTAGGAATCACGAAATCAGGATTCTTACATTCGAAATTGGGAATAGAATAGATTCTGTGAGATTCGAAATTAGGATTCACAGAGAGATCAAAATTGAAGAAGGATTGAGCGAGGTTCTTCGTATTGTTGCTCTATCATGTTTTCGCGAAATTAGAGTGTATGATAGACTTCATTGAGTTAGTTTTGTAAACGATTTACACATATTAACGTTTATATAATGAAACATAACTAACTCATAAGTGTTACGTACATCAAGATCAACTTTATAGCTCGAAAAGAGTTATGAAATCACTATTAAAACCCACTTCTAATGTTTTCTAGCAACTTCAAATACAAGTTTGTTTAGAAATGACACAGTTATTTTATATTGGTTCACTCCGTAGAGCTACGTGTAGTTCTCCTCTCAGATTTCTTAGAGGGTTCCACATTAATCTTCAATAAGTTTACAACTGATCATTCATATCATTCCTGGTATCACTTAGTCAATCCCAGTAACCCCTGTTACTCTAACTAGAACCAAATATCACCTACTCCGGGTTGTGCAGTATTCTTTACCACTCCTGGTATCCCCAAACAATCTTGTTATCTTCCTGATACGCTGTTGAGTTGATGCTACCAATAAGAAGCATTGATTCTTTGAGGAGATTTTGATGATGATGCACTTGAAGACTTGAAGGAACATTCACATACATTGTTAAAGCATTATTTGTATTAGGCTTTATCTTTCAATTGTAAGCACTTAGAAGTCATGTAACTTATTCTTTTGTATTGATTTCTCTCGGCAATAATCGATTATCATGGGGGATATTCGATTATCTTTGAAAATTATAATTGTCCAAGGTTCGACAATAATCAATTATCACTAAGGATAATCGAATATCATGTTTTTCAAAATCCATAACGATCTAAAATAATCGATTATCACTTTTGGTAATCGATTATATGCGACAGTTGGGAGCTGTCTTTTCATTTTCTGACCCCTAGCATATAAATAGAAGTCTCCAAAACATTTCCAAGGTTACCTAAACTATTTGAGAGTACATAATTGGTTCTAAGGAAGCTATTGTGTTTAAGTGATTGCTTGATCAAGTTTTTGAAGAAGGAGAAGCTTGTTGTTAGTGTGTCTACGATGTAAGCGGTTCTCTACCAAGTTGTTCAAGCTGGTGATCATTCACTCGTGTGTCAAAGGAAGGTGTACTCTTTACTGCGTAGTTATTTATCCATCTTGTAAACATCAAACTGATTTTTAATGACAAGTTAATCACTCATTCTAAATTGATTAACAAATAGATGTAGAATCTTTCGGTTTGAACTAGTATAAAAGTCCTTTGTGTGATTTTCCTTATCTCTGCATCTCCTGACTTTAAAGTGTTCGAAGAAATTTTTGAAAGAAAACGAAAATTGTAATAGAACTCATCCACCCCTCCCCTCTTGCTTTTGTACTGTTTACATGCTCTTAAACATTCTGCCGCACGATACCAATTCCTACAGTTGAGTTTCACCCACTCTTGGTTTGCACTAGACAAACCCGTCTAGCTATTGTTTAATCCCACCGTGTTAAGTGTTAAGTATTTGTATTCTCTTTCAGAATGTGCAATCAATCAGATCGCTTACAAGTCCTTAGATGATGGATGTGTTTACAATACAAATCAATTTAACTGACTTTTAGAGTTTTCTCTCTTCTTACAAACGTAAGCTTACGATTCTATGAAGCTTAAGAGTATTTTCTTTTCTTTTGAGCTCGTTTTTGTTCTTAGATAATTTCTTTCATATTTGTGTGTTTATTCTCTTACTCTTCTCTTCAAGGATATTCAATTTATACCCGAATCAAATTAATGAGCAATTAAATACAGTATAAGCTAGGAGAATGACCCCTAGGTCATCTCTCAAGGACCAAATGTGGTTCAAGAATTAAGTCAAACACATGGTGGGGGTTTTGAAGGTGGTTTTGTGTACTGAAATAAACTAACTAAAGCAAAAATTCAAGCACAAATTTAAAGAACGATTAAAGACAGGTTGGTGATGGCTCGGTTGCACTTGTTTCCAATCATAGATTTACAACGGATATTCAATCATATGACCCTTAATCCAACACGAAATAGACAACTAAGCGAAGTCTAAAATGGTCTTCATAAGATGTGAATTAAGAAAACACATTCACACAAATTCATCAGTTCTACACAAACACAGTAATCAACTAAGTGAAGATTATCAAGCTCAAATTAGACCACTAAGCGAGGAGAAATTGCACAAAACAAATTGCTGATATGCAAGGCATACAAAACAGAATCACAATTAGGCTTAAATAATCTCAAGGAAACCTCTATAACGTCACTAATCACCAACCTAGAAAATTACGCTTCCATGAACATCATTCAAAACGCAGAAACGAATGGGTAGCTCAATGCAACAAAACAAATCAATTCAAAACTGGAAAACGAAATTGAGACACAATCAAAATGCAAGCAACGAAATGAAAACGAACTTAAATTAAATCTCTAATAGGAGAATGAAAGTCAAATTAAATGTGTAGAATCAAAATTGCAAAGAGTTAAAAACAAAATTGTTTTACTGGAATTGAAAGTGCATCAAATTGTAAATGAAAAACCTAAAACCCCAAAAATGGGGAGCTCTCCCTTGCTGTCCAAAAGTGCTAGAAACGTAAAATGAGAGAGTTAGAGAGTGTTTTGTGATTTGCCTCCCTTTTGCACACAAACCTAGGTCAAGCCACTAATGAGCCTCTCCAAAATGACCCAAAACAGCCCAAAAAGTCAAATCTGTCCAAAAATATAATAAAAACGAATTTACAATTGAATTAAATCTAAAATGCCTATCTGAAGAGTGGTTGTTGACGTTCTTGGCTTCTTGAAGTCCCAAAATAATATTCCAATAATTTCCTGCAATTAATAATGGACATAATTAGCCTCAAATAATTCAAATGAACTAAAATAAGAATTACTGGTGAAATTAAGCCCAATTATCAAAACTGAGGAAATATTAGACAATTAAGCATATTTTCTAAACCAAATGTAGTACAATAATCTAAGTGAATAGTAGAAAGTATTGATTCATTAGTCCGTTTACAAGCTCTTAAACATTTTGTAGCACGATACCAATTCCTACAGTTGAGTTTCACCGACTCTTGGTTTGCACTAGACAAACCCGTCTAGCTATTGTTTAACCCCATCGTGTTAAGTGTTAAATATTTGTATTCTCTTTAGAATATGTAATCAATCAAATTGCTTACAAGTCCTTAGATGATTACTTTCACATAGAGGATGTGTTTACAATACAAATCAATCTAACTAACTTTTAGAGTTTTCTCTCTTCTTACAAATGTAAGCTTATGATTCTGTGAAGCTTAATAGTATTTTCTTTTCTTTTGAGCTTGTTTTTCTTCTTAGATAATTTCTTTCGTATTTGTGTGTTTATTCTCTTACTCTTCTCTTCAAGGATATTCAATTTATAGGCTTCAAGAAAATGTCTATTAGATAGTACTTATTTTGATCTTCGGGTCTTCTTAGCCTTTTCTTAGGTAGCAGCTGTAGGTTAAAGTCAACTTGAAGAGTAGAGATGCTTTTTCAATACTTTATCACAAGTATGTTGTACAAAATCTTTTGTGCCACTTTTAATAGAAATAACATTATGTGAATGTCTTCTTTGTCTCTAACGTCCACTTATGACTTGTATATGATAGAGTAGGTGGACACTTGATATAGGTAATCTGCACAAAGTAGACACTGGTAAAAAATCGCATTTTTAACTTGTACATTAAGCTTCGGTTTCAGAAAAATCGAAGCGTATCAAAACGCGGTGGCAGTTTTGTAATTTTTAGAACACTATATGTCTCGGTTGTCAAGAAACCAATGTCTAAAGAGAATATTGCCTCAGTTGACAGAGTGAACCGAGGCATAAACCCCATATATATTACATTAATCAGACCTTTCACCCGATACCTATCTGGTGACAGAGATACTGCCTCGGTTGGCAGGATGGGCCGAGGCATATAAGCCTTTCTAATAAGTGAAAGAGGAAATTTTTCCACAAATAACTCATTCAAGCCAGGAAAACATAGCACCTCTCCTCTTCTCTTTTTCTCGAGGATGATGCGATCACAACTGCGATGGCGGTGAAAGCAAGTGACGGTGTGACAACAAAGTAGCAACGATGCTGCGATGGCGGTGAGAGCGCGCGACGGTGCGGCGAGAGAGTAGCGACGATGCTGCGATGGGGACTGCGATGACGCTGAGAGCACAGCGACAATGCGGCTAGGGCGTAGTCGGTGGAGCAGCAATGACGCAACTCAAGGAGGCGTTCTTCCTTTCATTTTCGTTGGGCTTGATGGAGTTTCGCAAGATCGGGAGGAAACTCTTTTCTCATGGCGCGACGAGGACGCAACGGTGGCATAGTGACGGTTAAGTGCTAGATCTGTGTTTTTCTTCCTTAGGTTTTTTGTTCTGTTTCTCTGCAAGTGGATGGCGAAATGGATAGTGTTTGCGCTTTGGATTCGCCTCTTGAATAAGGGGTTCTACTTCTTAGTTTTCTCTACGGCTTCTGATTTCTCGCTGGGAAAGGTCTTGGGGTGGATGATGATGATTGGGGTTGAAAATCTGGGTTGTTAGTGTAGGTTGGAGTTTGGGTGCCACCATGATACTGGTTCGTGATAATAAGAGGAAAGATAATGAGAACGCACTGATGGGTAGTGTTAGTCTGAACCCGTTATTTCAAAGTGAGTCTTTTGGGCATTACTACCCTGACGCTGAGCACAACTATACTATGATGGAGAAGAGGCAACTGTTCTTGAAAAGCTATCAGTTCTGTCAAAAGAAGAGTCTGAAAGAGAGAGTGAAAGGGTCTTTGGTTTGTGTCAAGAAGGTACTGTGGCTAAGGCTGCGATCTTCTAAGAAACTTAGGAGGTTGGTGTTTTCATGAATAAGAATCAAATGTGACTTCTATTACTGCAGGAGAAGGTTTTCACGCCTTCTCAATGCCCACAACCGCAAAATCGGCTCTTCCTCTTGTCACTAGTGCAGAAAGAGCTTTAGACTTCTGTTATTTTGGGATTTTAACATTAGATCCCGATTCGACGTCTTTACGGGTGACGTTAATGGGACGTCGGACTCTATAGAGTCCGACATCTTTTATAGACGTCAGATTACACCAAAACTGACGTCTACTATAGACGTCGGACATGACATTAATCGACGTCTAATGTAGCTCGTGTCTTTGGGTAGCGTAATAGCACCTTCTTCCTTTGCTAGTTTTGTCGTAGAAAAGGTTGCGTCTTTTGGACCTCTTATGGCATTTCAATCGTAAACTGAATCTGGGTCCTTGCCTAGTTCCATTGCAATTGGCAATGAAAACGAATACGGTGACATGAGAAGGACCCAGGTTCGGTTTTGGGTTGAAACGCTATAAGACATCCAAAAAACGCAAGCTTTTCTTACGTGGAAACTAGCAAAGGGAGAATGTGCTACTACGTTACCCAAAGACACGAGAAAAACTACACCAAAACACAATGAAAACTCAATTTAATCCGTTCAAATGGAAGATAATCCATCAAAGACTAATTTAATCGGAGTAAAAGTAAGTTTAAACGGTTCAA